GAAGATTTTTTTCTACTTTTTCTCCAGTCGGAGGGGGATTGCATTGATGTATTTAGGGCTCTGCTCACCTACTACGATAAGGACACTCGTTCCGTTCAGACTAAATATTCGAATTATGTCCGTAGTACCTCTAACTTTCAGTATGAATGGGTTAGAAACGACATCAGCGCTGCGGAAACTGGTATGGCAACGGTAAGAACCGCCGTGCGAGATGGTGACGTTTGAGATGATGAGGGTCTGCTGGTGCGATCGGTAAGACATTTCAATGTTTCTGAATTGGTCCAACGAAGAAATCTCCCGGTCGTTGAACGTCCACCATACCGGTGTCTCTAGGTTTGCCACCTCGGACAGTCGGCAATGGAGGGTCGCTTTTTCGCGGACATTCACCGAGTGACGGATGGAGTACACGGATATGTTAAAAAAGTCTAAAACGTAGAAGTTTCTTCACAGCATTCTGTATCTTTTAGATGATGTTATTTTTTTACCGAGCACCTTTACCAAAAATCGTCTTTTGATCAGCTCGTAGCCGTTAGAAGCCTCGCAGCTGTAATGTCCCGAGTTGTGAGTTCGCAAATACGTGATGTACAGTTCACAATTTGGCTGGATCTTTGTCGCCTCTGGCAATGTTATTATCTTGTCTTCATGTCGCCAAAGGCACGAGTTCAGCATGGATGCAAACGCAATACATTTGATCTTCTGCAAGAACGAAAGCTGTACATAACGATGTAAGGCATACAAGTCGCATTGAATATTTAAATTAAGTACTCCTTTTATAAAATTTAGCAAGCTATCGATTGTAACATTGAATCAGTGCTTTAAGTGGTTTCAGCTTCTTCCTTAGAACTCATGACGATTTCGTCATTACCACTTTTACACAGCTGATTTTATTCCCACTTCTGTTTTGTGTCTAAGAAATGAAGAAGGACCACTCTTCAGGAGATTCAATACACACGTAGCGATCATCTGACGGAATTAATTAATCTTATAACTGCACGGGGGTGTGGTGGCACAGTGCCTAAGATGTGTGCTTCGAATTCTAAAGATGATTGGTTCGATTCTGGCAGAGGGCAGTCTTTCTCTTAACCACACATTCCCTTCATCAGGAATCTACGACACGATGCTGCAAGCCATAGATTGGTATAGCATTGGGCTCAGCAACGAGAGGTTTCTGGCGGGATCACTCGGTTTTCTTCCTTCTGATGTTAATAAATGACTACAACTTCGTGATAAGCAAACAGGAAACTATACACTAAGGTTTTCATATGGCTGAAGATATGGAATTGGAAATATTTGGAGCACCCTACCATTGACTTCATGAAAAGAAGGGCACCAGAAATGGCTCCATCATGAAAGTATAAGGAAGATCGACATTCCAAAGGTTAGAAACCTTTCGTCCTTCTTTTCCTCTAATAGTTACTGCAATTTTTGTCGTCACTGGTAATTGTTATCAGTTGAAAAAATGTATGAACAGCAGTTTTCACGATTGATTATTGCTGACTTTACGAAACAATATACAACAAGGATTTGCAGATTGTGTTGATCGTCACACTGGACAGACAATTTGCAGCCTTACGAAGCTTTCGCATCAGAAAGCATGGCCGTACCTCTCATCCGTTCTTGCATGACCAAACGGAAGCACCATGCCGACCCAGTTGTTCGCAAGTTAGTGACATTGCTACTCGTTTCTCTGCTGGTTGTACCGAAGCAACATTTTTTGAATTCATTGCTCAAAGACATTAGCGGTTAAGGAATTTTTTTTCTGAGTTCGAAGTTTGCACTTCTGGAGTTCCAAGCCGGTTTCTTAACACAGTGCTGCTCCC